ACATGTTAAGCCGTGTGAGAGAGGAAACACTACAAAGATGGTACCACTGCCTAGAAGTTCAAGGTAATCATATCGAACAATTTACTTAATATTTGATTCTTAATAAATAAAAAATTCTTTTATTATTCAATAACAACACTAAGCAAATTTTTCAACCGTTACCTATACTAGCAAAATCTTTAATAAGAAAATTTCATTTCTTATATTGACTTTTTTTCTTTATAAATATTTTTTGATAAAATATGATTAATTCATAAATTTAATATACTTCCAAACAACTTTTATTTCATTTCTAAAAAAAATAAGTAATTGAACTTGCAATTTTAAATCCGTCTTAGCTCGAGCGTATACCGACCGTTAACCTACCGTCCACCATTTACCTGGCCGATTGCATTTCGACAGGTAGTCGACGAAGATACGTTGGTTTTTCCGGCGAAATTCCGCATTTTGTTTAATTTTTATGCGAAAAACTAATAAACCGATATTTGATTGTGAGGTACCGTTGGATTCGTATTGGTTTCATCTTTCGGAAGATACCATAATATACTGGGTGTTCCATTTAAAAAAACAAAGTGGATCCATTTTCCGGAAAAACTAAAAGTGATAGCAAAATTTTCCATAAGAAAATATTTGTGCTGATAAAATATAGAACCTGACGTTTTTTTGCTCATATTGATATCTCAATCTGTTCGGAAGTTAAAAAGGGGGGGGGGGGTTACTTTACGCTAGCACTGTATTGATAATAAGTTATATATAAACTATACATATATTAAAATATAACACAAACCATTTTAATAAATTAAAATCAAACAATCAAAAATCAATATAATAAAACATAACACTCCTATATAACAAAAAATATAATATATTATTATACATATAAAATATAATAAATATTATAATAATCTAATTGGCGAGAATTTCATACGGTCCATTATACCATCAAATATCAGTATTTTGTGTAATACCCATTATTCTCTATGCTACATTGCAATCTGGCGGACATCGAATTTACTAATCTTTCGCATACATCCTTGCCGCGAAACAATTCCCACACAACTGTAATGTTGCGGCGCAGATTATCCACATTGCGAAAAGGAAAGTTGGCATTTTTATTGAACTGTTTTTCCACCAAAGTCCATAGATTTTCGAATGGGTTTAGATCCGGTGACCACGCTGGCTGGGGTATTCGCCTAACCTCATTATGATCGTCAAACCAATCATGAACAATTCTTGAAGAATGCACCGGCGAATTGTCGTGGACTATCGTGATGATCCCTTCTGGATACAGGTTCTTACTGCTGGTATCAAAACATCCTCCAGCACTCGAATGTATTCAATCGAATTAAATCTTCCTTTAATTTCGGTCAGTTCTCCCGGTCCATGAATCATCCATCCCCAATAACCCAAGGAAATGTGTCCACTTCTTGTATTGGGTTGAACATGATTAGCATTATAGCGTCATGTGGGAGCTAACAGCGGCCGATTCTCATTAAATCTGAACAGAACTGTACTGCTATGTGCCGCCATGTTTAGCTAAAATTATTCTAAAGATTGGCTCTGAGAACTTGTATGTTTCATTTGCGGTGAAACCTCATAATTGTTGATGATTATTAATAATTTTTGACTATTATTAAGCAAGAGTATCATTTTTTAATATTGTTTAAAACAACGTAATTTGTTCCGACAAACATTCATCTTATTTATGGGTTCTCTTATGAAAATCACAATTAATTGGTGTTATTTAGTTAGTATTAGATCCTAGTAAGATAATTGCACAACTTCCATAGCCAGCTATAAAAAATAATTTTCTCTTAATAATAGCAGCGCTTTACAGTACAATGTAGCATATTTTATTTTTTTACGCTAAAACTATTATCTTTAATGAAAAAACTAAAGAGACAAAAAAGTACCAATAATGAATAAGCTTTACTACCCATACTTTTTATGTTAATATTTCATGGTATTATTTGTTGGCTCAACTTTGACAGCTCATAGGTCGAAACAAAAAAGTTGCGACCCTATGCTTATATAAAAAATTTGTATTATTTTGGCAAGTACTACGTCCTAGTAAAGTTTCCCGATTAGAAACTGAACCACCCTGTATTTCCTTGTATCTTATTATTTGCGTACCGATTAGTCTCCTCAACTATTTTCTTGATCAACTCATCTGTAAAGAACAACTTGAAGAACTATTGTCACTATTGAACGTATCGTCTCTGGAACTTTTAGTCAACGTGTGTAGGATGCTATAAGACATAAAATATATGAAAACTCTGCTGATTTCTCTGCTAGAGACACTGAAAGACTGACTCGACTAACTGAAATTCGTAATGACCCTACAAAGGGCTCGCACCGTAAGTTTACATTATAATTTCATTAAGATGTAACTTGTCTTCTTACATGCGTAGGCTACATGCGTATCTTATCGTTTAGGACGACAGACGTATGCCAGCCACAGCCCCAGATGTGGACGGCTGTATGCCGACACGCGTTCGCAACGGTAAAAAGGCTTTATTTACCATGTAGCTGAATATGTTGGGAAAACATTTGAGCAATCAATGACTCTTAGTGCATGTAACATCAATCCTGGAAACTACCATATTATTGGGACGTGTTTATTACCGACGTTTTTATAAGTGCTGTACAGGTCAATCAATGAAACAAACTCAAATTAAAAGAGTAATTTTCGCGTCCTAGCACATCGTAACTATAACATTTCAACTTTGAAACTATTGAAATTACAATTGTATCAACTGCTAACTAACAACCTTTTAAGCAAATGGGCAATATACACTAATTTTGAAATTCTAATATTATGATACACACTTTGTTTTTTGAATTCTTTCTAGACTCATTGGATTAATGGTGAATGGAAAGATTCAGAATCAAAATGCTGTTCGGAAATAATAGAACCTACGTTCCAAAGCTACGAGATGAAGGAACTACAACCGGACACAACGTACAACATTGAGCTTAGGGCTCATAACGCGCTAGGTGCGAGTACAACAGCGCAAATGAGGGTTAAAACGATCGTGGAAGCCTTTTCAGGAAGTAATTCATCAACTAATTCGTTCAATCTTCTTATTTTGTTCGTTTACGCGGTATTTTATTAGACGATAAAAAAATTTGGAAGAAAATGTTTACTCTTTTTGATTACATAATGTTAAAAAAATAAATGTGAATTAAATATAAAACAGTTGTTGATTTTCTTTGCATTTTTTTCTTTCTCCTAGAGAAGAAGTTTTACGTAGGTATTTAATACAGATCGTATTCACCGCAAAAGAATATAAATTTTGTATAAAAGAATTCATTCTTACGTCAATCATTTAAGTAGTATAGCTATGTGCGTTCTGGACCAAAATCCGTTAAGATTTAACATTGGGGCAGTGTTGCCACCTTTGCAGCAGCAATATTCCCTTTCTGTGTACTAAAAATTCCCTTTTATTTACTGCCGAAATTTTGTTGGGACTAAAAGTTTTCTTCAAAAAAAAAAAGGTTGTTAAGAGGCTACTTTACCATACAGTTCGGCAAATTACAAAAAACATATATTATTTATAAAAATAATTGGATGAAATTTTGTACATAGCTTCTTCCAACAATTATACATAACGCAAGGTGAAAATTTTTGAAATTTTCCAAAAAAAAGGGGCATATTCTTCAATATTAAAGAATTTGGTCATTGTTTTTTAGCTTGCATGATAGTATACATGAAAATAGTAATATTTTTCAAATGAAATTTTTCTGAATTTTTAGTAATAAAGGAATAGTTTGTAATTTGCTAAAATTGTAAAAAGGTAGCGTAAAAATGAATATTTTCCGTCATGATTCCCACGAAGTATTACTACCGCGTTAGACCCGCCTCCGGCCGACTGCTAAGCGACACCGACATCGACGCCGTTCACCGATGCTCTTTATTTTATCTATTGCTTCTTTAATGTGGTAGAGAAAATAATCATTTGTAAAAGTGCGTTTTGAACTTTGTTTTTAGTTATTTGTTAGTTATTATTGTGTAATTTAACTACATTTTTGGGTTTATAGTTTACTGTTTATAGTTTATTGTTATTTTCTCGTTTACTTTAGTGTTAGTTAAGTTTATGTAAAGTTTTATAAACAATGGGTAAGTACATACACCCAGAAAGGAAAGATGGTTGTCGCAAAAACCTATCACTTAGTACTCGAAGACGTTCTCGAAAAAGGAGTAATAGACGATAATAATTTACGATATATATTTTTGTAAAAGCTAAATTCCCATTTTTATAGTACGAGCCGGACGACAGAAAATTCAATTGAAAAATGTGTTCCATCTGATAGGTAAGTTAATTTTTATTAATTTAATTTAAAAAGAATAAATCAACAGTAAAAATTGTTTTGAAAATGTTTATATTAGTTGTATCAACACAGACGAAAACAATACATTATTTGAAACGATACCATGCGGTGATGAGACAAATAATATAAATNCCAGTATTTACGGGAGATCGTATGACTCTACGCAGTTATGTGAATGCTTGTGAATATTTGATCGAGGAATTTTTGACTCCTGACCCGAATGATCAGAGAATGTCACGGAGATTGTTGATGATCTTCATGGGAAAACTCGAAGGAAAGGCACGTGAAGCAGTGGATGCCAACCGTACACCAACATCATGGCCGGAATTAAAGGCGATACTGGTCCACAGCTTTGGCGATAAGAGATCGGAGGATGTTTTGGCTTATGACTTGAACAATATTCGACCATTAAAGAACGAGTCATCGCTCGACTATGCCAACAAAATTAAAGCTACTCTGTATACCTTGCTATCGAAGATTAATTTGGAGGAAAACGACATAAATATCCGTCATATGAAAATAAGTCAATATAATTCTTTAGCTCTCCGTACATTTTTGTTCGGATTGGACCTGATCAATGACAGACTTGGCTTAGAAGTTAAGATGCGACAACCCAATGACATCGAAACAGCTGAGGGGTACGCATCCGAGATAGAAAATTATAATTTACAGAAGAAACGTTACCTGGACGTTCATAAACCTTTGACTCTACCAACGACGAGACCAATGCCCTCGTATGCATGGCATCATGCACCGACACAAACAAGGCCGTTAGCACCTTTCCAGAGACAACAAATCTCTATGGTACCACAACAACGGAGTAATTTTATACCACCTGCTCATACCGTACCAAGAGCACCACCGAGATTCGCTTCATCTCCTGGACAAATGATGCAACAGAGACCATACCGACCAGTACCGATGGACGTCGATACTTCGGCTCAAAAACGACAAGCATCAACAATACAAAGGCCTGCAAAGAGACCCTGGCCAAATAATATGATGATTGAAGAACAAACTCCAACTCATCCTATAGAAGAAAATGAAGAAGCAGGATATCTTGAGATGCCAGAAGGATATTTCAGTTATGGAATGAACTCCGAAGAAAGAAGCAATGAGGAACAATATCAAGAAGACAATGACAAAGAAGAGACAGAAGCTGTAAATTTTATAATGGTCAGCCCTGTCAACGATTTGACATAACAGGTACAATAACTTACAACACAGCTACTTTAGATCCTAAACTCCCCTATCTAAAATTTGGTCGATATAAAATCCTCATCGATACAGGAGCATCAAAAAGCCTTGTTNAAAATGTTAGCAGTTTGTTATTGAATATGAACACTAATCGAGCAGAACATTATAATAGCATCGTATGCAAATTCATTGGAGGGAAACGAATAAATTTTTCTAGAAGAGGGTCTTATCAAACGAGATGTGAAGCTTCTGCACTATCGTTCAATTCGCAAGAATCGTATTACGATACAATGTACCGATCGCTATCACATAGAGAAGAAAGCTCGATTCTGATTCAAAAACATCGATCAAGAATTCTTCGACAACGACAGTTACAGCAAAATCGAAAACGTCGTCATTATGGTGCTGTAGATAATGATAGCAATTTGGTTACAAGTGACATTTCAAACGAAGACTACAAAAGAAAGAAAGCAGAATTTATTGCAAACTTACAGGATGGATGTGTCAATAGAAATAAAACCGAAATTCTTAGCAGAGGCCAAAGAACCAATCACAACTGGATCCAGGAAAGGTCTTTGAGCCTAACTGCATCGAGGTTTGGTGAAGTGTGTAAGATGAGGAATAGTACATCTTGCATAAATAAAGTAAAATCCATCTTGTATTCGAAATTTGCTGGAAACAATACCACTAAATATGGCCAAGACCATGAATGGCTTGCAGTAAAAGAATTCGAAAAGAAATATAACTTGTCAGTAAACTCTTGCGGGCTATTTCTCCACAAGGAGTATGGATTCTTAGCTGCAAGTCCAGATGGAGTAGTTGAAAACGAAGACGCCACTGTAGAGGTGAAGTGTCCAGCAAATTCAAAAAATTTACATCCATTCGAAGCAATAAACCAAAAAATAATTACATTTGCTTTCATAAATGATAGCGGAAATTTTCAGTTGCATCGAAAGCATAATTATTATTATCAAGTACAGAGTCAACTTGAAATAGCAGACCGCGAAAAATGTTATTTTGTATGTTGGACATCCAAAGGCTTCGAAGTAGAAGTAAAAATTTCGTAGAAAAGACAAGTTTGGGAACTCCTCGAATTTCGTTTTTTATTGATTAATAATAAATAAAATTGTTTATTATAATTTTTTTTACGTTTCAGATATACAGGGATCGTACTTTTTGGAAAACTATGTTTCAAATATTAAATTTTTTTTTTTCAATTGTTTATTACCTGGGTTAATTGATCCAAGGCTTCCAAGAGGTTTGCAAATACGGGACCCACAAAGAAAACTTTGTGAAAAATAAAACTCACAGGTTGTGAAAATGTTTTTTTTTGGTATTGTTTCCATTTAAAAAAACAAAATAGAACCATTTTCCGAAAAAACTAAAATTGATAAATAATTTTTCATGCAAAAATATTTAGGCTAATAAAAAATAAAAATTGATATATATGGCTCATGTTTAGAAGCGGGGATGATTGGATGAAGGGTGAGCCTCAACTGAAAAGAAGAGCCTGGTACATGAGAGACCCCAAAGATAGCCTTATGCTGGAAAACACTTCCAGGACACAGACAAGCGAAAAGTATGATAACTCTGTCGCAAAAGAAAGTCAAAGAAGTTTCATGCCTTAGCAAAAAGAACCTAAGGTCGCTCTCTGGTTTCCTGATCGGCCATACACCCCTAAAATACCACAACCGAGAAACCAAGACACGTATATAAGATTGTTTATGTACAATTAAGTTATTAAATTTTGTATTTCAACTTTGTAGCTACCTCCGCTTTCAACTAAAATTACCTACACGGTTGTTCTGAATCACTTGCATATCAAACGAGCACATAATAATAAAAGAAAAGATGTAATTGATAAATTTTGTACCAAACTTTTCACATTCCATCTATTGCGACTATGTCCCCTTCAATATAAAATGTATTTATAAATGTTATTTTANTGATAACAGGACATGGATGCTTCAGGCAACATTTATATATCCATAGACGGAGTAGGAGTGACTGCTGCCCTTACTGTGGTGAAATGGACAACGTGGAACACACATTCTTCCAATGCCCTAGATGGAGCAGCGAAAGACAACGACTTGTGGCCAACCTACGGGAGTACCTGACACCGGAGAACGTGATCGACACCATGTTGGAAGACGAGGAGAGTTGGGAGAGGATCGACGGATTTGTGAAGCAAGTGATAAGTGCGAAAGAGAAGGAAGAGAAAACGTTGTGCGCAGGTGCAGTGTATATGTCGTGAAGTGTGGTGTGCTGCAGTGAAAGTGAAGAGTAGTTAGAAGTGGTTATGGTTTCCGCCGCCCGCGCGATGGTTAAAGCCCGGAGGGGCATTCCGCATGGGAGAGGGCGAAGAAAGAGGGGGAGTTTTTAGTGGGTATCCTTGACCGACAACATCGAGGTCAAGGGAGTCCAATACTCTCGGTCGGATGAGATTATCTCAACAATAGGCGCCATTTCCGGCCGGGGCTCAGTGCATCAAGCATTTTCTCCTCCTCTGCGCAAAAAAAAAAAAGGGTTGGGTTGGGTTGGGTTTTCCTCAGGGGCCCAGTGAGTTACTGGGTACGGGCTTAGCGAACCCGAGGCCGCCTGAGCTCAAGGAGCATACCTCGTTAAAAAACTGGGGTC